TTTAAGCCCTTGGCATCAGCTCCTCTTTTTCTCCCTCCCTTTCCCATCCTCCCACCCTCATGGACCCCTGATACATTATAAATTAGTATTATTTTCATATCTTACACTGCCTGCTGTATCCCTTCGTCCATGTTACTGTTGTTCGTCCCCCTGGGGAGGAGGATTATACGTCATTGTAGTCGGTTCCTGATTCTCCCCCCATCCCTACCCACATGGTATCACTACACCCATTGCTGTTCCTGCAGGGTTTAACTTTCCTGGATTCCATGTGTCGACAGCTCTTATCTGTACCAGTGTACATCCTCCACTCTAGCCAGATTTGTAATGTAGTCATGATAGTGGGGAGGAGGAAGCATTAAAGAGCTAGAAGAATATTGTGTGTTCCATTGGTGCTGTGTTGCACCTTGGCTGTCTCGTTCTTTTTGTGACCCTTCTGTGAGGGAATGTCCAATTATCTAAGATGGGCTTTGTATCTCCACTCTGACCCACATCATTTACATCGATATATTTGTTTGTTTTGGATCTTTGATGCCTGACACCTTATCCAGTCTACAACAAGTGATCACACAGGCTGGTGTGCTTCTTCCATGTGGGATTTGTTGCTTCCCTGCTGGATGGCCACTTGTTTAGCTTCAAGCCTTTAAAACCTCAGGCACTATATCTTTTAATAGCCAGGCACCATCAGCTTTCTTCACCACATTTGCTTATGCACCTATTTGACTTCAGCAAGTGTGTAGGGAAGGTGAGCATCACAAAATGCCAGGTTACTAGAACAAAGTGTTCTTGCATTGAGAGAGTACTTGAGTAGAGACCCAATGCCCATCTGCTATCTTAATGCTTAACATTTAAATATATTTGCATAGACCTATATCCCTATCATTTTATGTTAACGTATTTAAATATATGCTTGCCTAAATGTATGTCTCTATAAATGTCTTTTGCCTCCTAGGGCTTGCCTCTGTTTCTTTTTACTTTCCTCCTGTCCCACTATCATGTTCGACCTTCATTCGACTCCCAGTACATTCTGTCAGCTGCACTGTACGTTATCAAACATAATCAGGCATTCTACACCCTCCTTTTTTTAGATCTCTTATTTTTCCCTTGTCCCTCAGTTTATTGTCTCTCTACTCCCTTTCTCCCACCTCCACCCAGAGCCAATGGCCCCATTGTTTTCTCTTCAGGATCAGTTATCCTACCTATCCTATATGGATAGACATGAGAAAAAGAGAAACACACACACACACCTACCAAAAAACCCAACCCTATACATAGTTCCAGGTCTGTCTGCTGACCCTTCTGAATGTTTCCAAATCTGGTCTGGTGAAGTGCATGCCCTTCCCACAGATTCCAAGGTCTCTTTTCAGGATTCCTTAGGTACTGCATTGTTTTGTTCCCCTTGTTCTGCTGTGCTCCCTGTTTCACTCCATTGGGTGTCTGTAGCCCTGTGGGTCAGCGAAGGACCAATGTTTTCATCTCTAGGGGTAATTACTTGAACCTATTAACTAACAGGCTACTATAAGGAAGGGGAATTTGATTAATTTATAATTTTAAATAGTAGTACAGCCCTAGAGGACCTCCTCATGTCCAGGCCAGTGTCCCACCTAAATCATCTCCTAGCCAGGCTGAGCACACAATTGTCCAGAACCTTTTAGCAGTCCATGGTACTGTCAGTATTCTTCACCAGAACCATAACTCAAATACATCAGTGCTTCAGTCTTCCTTATTTAATGTCCAACTTTCACATATATAATGGGGCTATTGAAAGTACCATGGTTTGTGTCAGGCCCACCTTAGTCCTCAAAGCATTCTCCTTGCTTTTCAGTACTCTAAAGAGGACTTGTGCAGCAGATTTACCTAATGCAACACGTCTTTTGATCTCTTGACTGCTGCTTCCATGAGCATTGATCTTGGATCCAAGCAAGACAAAAGCCTTGACAATTTCAACCTTTTCTCCATTTATCGAGATGTTACCCATTGGTCCAGTGGTGAGGATTTTGTTCTTCTTTACATTGAGTTTTAATCCATCCTCAAGGCTGCAATCCTTGATCTTCATCAGCAGTGCTTTAAGCCCTCCTCACGTTCAGCAAGTGAGACTTTTCATCTGCCTACCACAGGTTGTAAATAAACCTTCCTTCAGTCCTGATGCCACATTCTTCTTCATATAATCCAGTTTCTAAGATTATTTGCTCAGCATATAGATTGAATAAATATGGTGCAGGATGCAATGTACACTAGATGTATGTACACCTCTCCTGGTTTTAAACCGGGCAATATTCCCTGTTTGGTTTTCACAACTTGTTCTTGATCTATCTGACATTAGCTATGATCTTCTTGTTCCACGCCCTCTTCTGCATCTGGCCTGGTGGTTCTCTATCAATGTACTGCTGCATTTGTCTGTAAATTTGTCATATTGGGGTGATTTGTGTGTTGCGGTGGTACTAGAAGCTATGCCACTAGTATTTCAAATGACAGGAATGTCACCCACAGGGAACAGGTTTTAGTGGCGCTCCCAGACTTCCCACTTCAAAGGAAGTAGCCACTGAAAACCTTATGCATAGCTTCAAATCATTGTCTGATACCGAAGACTCATCAGTAGAAGAATAGGCAAAGAAACGTTGGTATCTATGCACAATGGGATACTACACATCGCTGAAAAACAACGATGAAACCATGAAGCTGTTCATAATGGGTAGGCTGAAGAACACCAGGCTGAATGAAATTACTCAATCACAAAAGGACAAATATTATATGAGATCACTATTATAAGTAAAAATAGATATAAAGAGATCAAAATAAGCACAAAGAACACTTTAGAACAGTTGTTGGAAGAAAACTTTCTTGATGCAGGAAAGATAAGAAGCTATACATTCAAGAAGCTAATCAAACCCCAAATAGGCTCTATCCCCATAAATCACCAAGGCATGTTCATAGTTGAGCTGTCCAGCACTCTGAGGAGGAAAGAATTCCTTTTTTAAAGCTACATAGAAAGGAAAAAGGATAAGATTAAGCAAAAATGGTGCAAGTAAGAAGGCAATGAAATGACACATATAAAGCTCTGAAAGAAAATAATAATAATAAAGAAAACCAAGAATTAAATACTCACCAAAATTATCCCTTAATTATGACAGTGAAAATTAAGATATTTACATAATAATAGAAATGCATCGGTAAAAATCAGACCTTTACAAGAAATACTAGAGTTCTTCTAACAAAGAACCAACAATGGTAGACAACAACCTTAGATTAATTGACATAGCAACACCACCCATAAATAGAAGTACCCAAAGTAAGCCAAATTTATAAAACTGAAAAAGAGACCCATAAATATCAATTTGTAAACTGAACCAAGTACAAGGCAAAAAGAGGGAATAATCTAGCTATCGAACTTCCAAGTGAAGAGGGAGTAAAATAGATTTCAAAATGGAACAGTTCTAAACTTGTAAAAAAATTAACAAAAGGTTGACAACTTCAGTCTTTTATCATGATATTGCCTATTAGTCTAGTTTTGAGAATTTTTATTTTCTCTATATTGAGTTACAATCCCTACTGCAGGTTGTACTCATTTTTTTAATCGGCAGCAAATACTTCAAGTTTGCTTTGTTTTTAACAAGTAAAATCATGTCATCTGCACATCACAGTTTGTTTGTTTGTTTTTTTCGTAAATCAAATTCTATTTGTGAATCCAGCAAAACACAGTTTGTTAATATTGCTTCCTCCAGTACTGATGCGGCATTCTTCTTCAAATAATCCAGTTTCTCGCATTATTTGCTCAGCAGCAAGAGGATACAGCCTTGATACATACTTTCCCTGATTTTGAATCATGCAATGTTCTTTTGTTCTGTTCCAGCAACTGCTATTTGGTCCCTGTACAGATTCCACATGCACAATTATGTGTTCTCAAATTCCCATTCTTCTCAATATATGGTATTCATATTTTAATCATCCACACAGTCAACGAGTAACAAGTAAACATCTTTCTGAAATTCCCTGACTTCACCAAAGTTTCATCCCATGTGTCATGTCCTCCTCTGAATCTGGCTTAAATTTCTGGCAGCTCTCTCATGTACTGATTTCTGGAGGTCCAAAGAACAAGCGCCGCTTCAATGGAGCCTTTCTCGACAAGTACAATGACACTGCCCATTCCTGTTGCCAATCGGCAGTTGTATGAGAGTTTCTAGGGGAAATTATTAAGTATTCACCTTAAAGTCCTGATTTCATTTCCAACTTCTTGTTTCCTAATCTTAAAAAAGTTTTAAAGGGCATTGATTTCTCTTCAGTTAAAAATGTGAAAAAAATACTGACATTGTTAAATTACCAGGACACTCAATTCTTTAGAGATGGACTAAATGACTTATGAAAGTATCAGTAACTTGATAGAGCTATGCTGAAAAATAAAGTTTATATTTTTAATTATTTATCTTTTCATTACATTGTTCCACAAACATTTTGAAGTTCCTTTGTATACTATTATTTATCTATTCTATTACTCTACTTTGCATTTCCTTCTTAGGTTTATATTTCTTAATTTTTCCCATGACCCTACTTAAAGGTCCAGCTGCAGGCATATGCGGTAGTGATAAAAATGAGAATAGTACAAAAGTAAAGATATTAAAGCTATCCATTGTCCCTACTATTTCATAATATAAAG